GCGTACTTGTTGCATGTGAGGCGAGTACTGGTACTAGACTCCGTATCAACCGGTCGAGACCAGATGCTAGCAAGAGGTATCAAAGTGAGGCGTCGTATGATAGATACAGCTTATTCGCTGATCTTCATACTTCGAAAATTTTTGCGGCAATGTCGAGGACTTCTACAGCTTCGAATCAGTTGTTCTATATCCGTACTATACCTATAGGATCCAAAGTGATCCTATGCCAACCCTTCGGGGAAGGCACATTGGTGCGGGATCAAACAAGGTTGCTGCAGACGGCGGATAGGATTTTACCGCTGACTGCTGTAGATGTACCGCGTCCTCTCCGCAAGAGGTCCTCTACCTCGTACGGTTCCGGGATTTTTGTTGGCGCCACGGTGGAAATTCTGAGCTTCGGTCTGGTTGGTGACGTTTACCCCGGTTGTTTATGTGATGCTCTTTATGCTGGTCATCGGTGTCCGTGTATCGTCACCGACCTGGTACCACCTTGGGTAGTGCAACTGGTGATTGAAGTAGAAGTGGAGGCCGAGAATGAGGAAGGCGAGTTGAATCGTGTTGGGTTGGAAGATGAATTCGCTATCACCAGCTCATCCCTGACCAAACTCTTCGCGACTGACAATGTTCGGAAGGTTAGTTCGATAATGTTGAGTTGTTTCACTCTTCTGCCCTCAGATCAGTCTGGAGTCTGATTTCGTCGAAGCCAGCTCAGTCTCCGACATCGTCGACTTCGCTGTGGCTAGAGTGAATCAAAACGGTGGATGGACCCTGGTTTTGTGGTCCAAAGCCTCGAAGGCCCAAAACGATTCTGAAGGAGGCATCAAACCTCCAAGGAATCATTTAGTTCATCTATCTCCATCTGCTCTTCCTGAGGATATCAATGTCGAAATTTTAGGGCGGAGGTAGGGTTATTTGTGAGTTGACTTGAACTATTGGTGGAACCTTCAGGTACGATGGGCAGCCCGCGCGACAGGGAAATCAAGATGGCAATAATGGCGATGACCAGCAGAGGATCAACAATGTCAATGCCCAGCAGGGGGCTAACGATGGCACAGAAGAAGTGGATTGACATTGACTGGGATGCTTTTAAAGTATCTGTTGAAGCTGTTGCTCATGAGCACTTTCCCTTGTACCTGTGGTGTTCCGAACTGAGATCACCTATGTTTGTTGTCCTCATTTTGTGTTATCCTTATTGATATCTTTAGCCGAGACATACCACAAGCTGCGCTAGTCATTGTTCAGATCGGTAGTGTTACGGAAGTAAATTTAGTACAGTAACGTCGTGGAGCTCAAAGAATGATGTGAGTGGATTACGATTCTCTTGAACATCGTCTTTAGCAGCCTCAAATGGGCCTTATAACGGTCGGGGCTTCAAAGACCTTGAGAATTCAACACATGCTTTGCTTCGCTTCGCGTCGTATCAGTGAATCTAGTGTTTTCCCGAATTCCATTACCGCGCCGTCTTTCGCGTCGATTGGGCAGAACGCAATGGCCTTAGAGCACTGCTGTATCGTTTTTCACTCAAATATCGTATCGACTGAAAAAGCGTCTCGTAGGAATCTACGTTGTGTTGCATGGGGAGTCGCGCAAGACGTCGCAGTTTGTGTGCTTCAATGAAAAGTGTCTTCCTTCGAGCGGAAGAGGTTTCAGAGATTTGCTGTGGGCTGGAACGTTTTGTAAACTCAGCCCATGCACCACGGCAGTTCCTCTCGGAAGGTGTCAAATTTAAGAAGTACCCCTGGGACTTCAAAGTTTTCGAGATCCCACGACGTGAAGGAGCGACTTTCTCTGGTGAATGGATTCACTTCACCCTGTGGAAGAAAGACCTCACAACGAGAGATGCCCTCGCGGAGATATCTAGAAAGACTGGTATCAGTATGAAAGAGTGGTGTGTTGCCGGTTGGAAGGACAGGAAGGCGATAACGACTCAAAGAGTATCCATCAGAGCTGAATTGGAGAACAAATTGAAGTCGTATGAGAATGGTAACTCGATACGGCTGTCCGATTTGAGCGTGGGAGAACAGTTGAAGGCTGGTCACCATGACGGCAATCGATTCCAAATAACTCTTCGAGATTTCCCTTTCACGTTGTCCTCGCCAGATTTCGACGCGGTTGAAGCCCTGCTGGATAGCATCAAAAACAATGGTGTTTTCAATTACGCTGGACTGCAGCGGTTCGGCGCCTTTGGCCAAGCTTTTCGTATCGGTCGTCATTTGATCGCTGAGAGAGCGGATCTCGCTGTGGGTGCGCTTCTTGATCCAGCCATGACCCCACTTAGCTCACCTAGTCGTTGTGTGCTCGAAGAATGGCATCGAACTCGAGATGCCAAATCGGCGATATCACTTTCATCAGGGAGGGTTAGAGAGTTGGAGTATGCGCTACTGAAGCGGCTGGCAGGTGACTGTCGCAATGATCTTAACCGAGCGTTAAGAACGACCATACCGAAGGAGCATCGGAGGTTCTATATGCACGCGTATGGCTGCTATCTGTGGAACCGAATGGTGAGCCAGTGCGGTACGGAAGTCGGTGACAAGTTGCCAATCCTTGGTGCCGGGATCGAACCTGCGTTCTTTGATTCACAAGGTGGGCGCATTCTCCAAGCACTACTGGTCGAAGACGGGTTGCTCACAGCCTCTCAAGATCTGAAAGGTTTCTGCGAAGACTTGGGCCCGAGATTGATGTTGATGGCTAAGATGAGGCCGGTGCTCATCACGCCAGAGGACTTTACTTGGCGGTGGGTGACACATCAACCTCGAGACAATCGTGACCTATGGCAGACAGTTGAAGAGGGTGATGGCTTGTCACTCCTCTTGGAGTTCGTTCTTCCAGCTGATTCCTTCGCAACATCAGTTGTAAGGGAGATCACTGGGGGATTAGATGCCTCGTCTGTACCGAAGAGTGTCCATGAATTAGATGTCTGTGTGCGGGGTACTTGAGTTTCGGACAACCTTGGTGGTGTTGTGTTACCGAGTTGGAGTGATGGTACATTGGAACAACAGGGATGGAGACCATTCAAGTCACTAACTGATGACTTGAATGATCTTCATCAAGTGTGCCACACGTGACACTCTGGCGCACTACGATGACGCCTGTCTAGAAGATGCGGCGAAGTAGAGAGAATTTCTAGCATACAGAAATTGTAACCGTACGGGTCACATCACAGCCCAACAACACAGAGCAGTTGGTGCTCAAATGATACAAAAATCTATCAGGGGTTACAGCGAAGAGTGACGGCATTGAAAGGTCCTGGGGAGAAGTTCGGCCCACCAACGCCGTCCTCACTCTCTTCCACAACAACGAGCACCTGCCATTCATCAGTGATGGCCATCGACCAGACATCCCATCCCATAAAGGGTGTGCTGTACGACAGTGTAGTTTGTCTTATGAGGTCCACGAGGCATACCGTGCAGGAGAGCTCATCAGCGAAGAGGCAGCAAACAGAAGCAAAAGCATCAGTATTGGGGACGAAGCGAGCCGCCGTAGCACCAGCAATGGTCGTGATGAGAACATCAGAGCTAACCGTGGTGAGACAGACTTCACCCACCGGCCGGTCTCCAATGAGATGATCAGGAATGTAAAGGAAGTAGTCTTCGTCCATAGTCGTAGTATCGAAGGAGAGAAGTGGCCCATCAAACTCCAGCTGGTAGAGCCAGGAGTAGCTCGGCGGCTGTAGTCGGTAAACACGATTAGTGTTGCTCAGAACGACGAAGACACCGCTTGGTAATGAACACAGCATAGCAAGGGAACCTGGTAGGTTCAGGGAAGAGAGTTCCGCACTGTCTCTAATTGACCATCTTCTGAGTTGCTTAATTTTGCCATCAGCATAGTAGACGACATCGTCGTGGACGCAGACATGGCTGACGTCTCGACCTACCCTGACGATGGTCTCCATCGCGAGAGTGTGAGGGTTCAATGACACCACCTCATGGTGTGACACCGCGAATGAGCGAAGGTCAATGCCAACGAACGAATGACCATCCGCGCAGGAGATATTAGTAAGAGTGCCCGAGATCGATGAGATGTTCGTTAGAGATACAGTAGACGGTGGAGCGGGATGTATTCGAGACCAGATGGATCTGATGAGATCCTCGTGAGAGTCGCCCAGTGACAACTGCAACGATCGGAGCTGTAATGTTAAACGATGTCGCCAAGATGCGGCGATAATGGATACCATCTGATGGTGATCGGCAAAGAATAAGCTGTTTGAATACCCGCTGTTGTGGAATAACTTAACTTGTTTCTTTTTCTGAATGAAAGTTGAAATTCGAAATGAAAGTTCGATTTCTGTACACCGCCCGCGAACGAAAATTGAAATACGTGAATGAAATTCATGACTTCGGAAACGAGGGTTCGAACTCGCCAAAACGCAGCCAATTCGGGTTTTCCCTCACCTGTACACGGTACAAGTATGAGCAACCTCTTAGGAAGCGGAGATTGGAAAACTCACCAGAAGTGGAAAACCCAATTTTCACCACGGTTAATATCGAATTGTTAGAGTATCGCTTCGTGTGGTTTGCTGTTGATCATCAGTGAACACTACGGCTCCTGGTTCACCGATCTCAGCGTTGAATCGATGTAATCTCCTGCCTGACCCAACCAGTAGTCATATCTTTATATCAAAAGATCGACCCATGTGTGTATAAGTGTAAGCAACAGGATCAATTTCTCCTCACTAAGAGCAGTTGGTGTGAATTATCTTGTGTTTCATGGCATGGAAAAATCGATTCTTTCCTCGTCGTCTGGAATAACTGAGAGAGTTCCTAACGACTCATCCCCATAGTTGATATATCCGGGCACGTTTGCCTCAAAGAGTGATCGTTTCTTCTCCCTTGTACGTGGAGATATTCAACTCCACTCACCAGTGTGGTGAAAATTGCACACGGTCAACCTGGTTGACTCAGCCACATGTGTTGATGACAACATGAAATTCTGAGGAAACTTTGGTAATTGTTGCTGGTTTCTGTATACTTCTATCCTAAATCGTATACGAACTTCTATGATTGGTGAGGAAACTCCCGAGCTCAGCTGCGGAAG